CTGCCCACATTCACGCCTAGCGTGTTCATATGATCACATCCCTAATAAATGTGTAATTATGAAATACTAAAGTACCAATTCGAAGTGTGAATCATTTTAAGATAAAGTGTAACTTATTTCTATAACATATTATACCCCAAATCAAATTTTAAATAATTTGTTATATAAATACAATACTTACAAAAATCGGATGTACGGATTTGCCATTTTTCTAACTGCTAACCAGCAAATTGGTCACTACAAATACTTCTAATAACAATTAAATGCACCTCGCACTGTTTATTATTTTAAACTAAGGCATAAGCAACACAGTAGCCTTGAGCCGACGTTAAAATTATCACAGTGTTGCCAAACAAATAATAAAATCTTGAGTCTTATGTGTGATCATATGATCACGCTAGGCGCTAATGGGTTAAGAGTAAGCTCTCAAATTTCAAAATCATTGTTTCAAAAAGAAAATAAATATAAATTAAAAAACTGTAGACTCATTATTAGCCTGTTATCAGTCTTAAACGTTTTGTACAAACAACTATAATGTAATAACTACAGCGCTTAATATATGCAATATTTTTTTTTAAATATGCGCATATATATATATATATATATATATATATATATATATATATATATATATATATATATATATATATATATATGCATCTTTTTTCACAAAAATATACACAAATATTGTCTTTTATTACAGAATATTCACAAATATTGGCTTTTATTACAAAATATGTAATAACATAATATAATGATACAATAGAACAAAAATAGGGTGCAAAACGTGCAATGTAAATTCTCAGAATACTATTCTTTTCACCTCGAAATACATAGGCGTGCACATCTTCTAACTAAAACGTAACCTTAAAAGAAAAGTTTGCGTTAAATTTATTTGGATATTTAGAACAAAGTAGTTAATCCAATCCAATACTGGTTTAAAATAAAAAGATACACATAAACAAAATAAAAATTCTATTATTTGTGAAACATACAATTTTTATAAAATAATAAAATACAATAAATTATACTGAAACGTAAATACATACACAAAAACTGTAAGTTTTTATATATTCCTATTAATAAATAATAATATTTTTAATACCAATAATATTGGTAAGAATGAAAATTATATTAGCAATAGAAATGAATAAAAAATAAACAATGAAGTTGTCGGCAATTAGTTCAATCAAATGTGAAATAAACTTCTAAGCTACAGTTTGAAGTTAAGCTTCCTCATATTATGTTTCAGACGAAGTGTTATCCGATCCGGGATGAATTATTAGAGGTTTTATACTACTATCTATTATATGATCAACTCCCACATATTTTTCTCAATATTCATAACGTGATTAATACATTGTTGCCAATGTTCAGTCGTTATTTCGGATATTGATTTATGAAAAAGAATAGAAACATCTGACAATTTAAAAGTTGTATAATTTCGAGCAACGTTACTTTTACCTTCGACCCATACCAATTCAATCGGATTTAGCTCGCAATGATACGGTGGTAGGCAAAGTATTTCAATTACTAGTTTTTTTCTATTTCCTTAATGACATATTTTTTATAATTTTGTTTATTAATTTTAGCAAGCTCTAATAATTCTGCTTTTGTCATTGTATCGTCAAAGATTAATTTCTTAGAAGTTAACCACATTGCAATTTCATCTTTTTTCCATTGAGTAGTTGGTAAATGTTCAACTAATCTAGAGTGGTAACTTGCATTGACCATCACAATAACTGAATTTTAAGGTATGAATTCAATCATCTGTTCGAAATATTCTTCAAACACGTCTCCGTTCATCTCTTCGTGATAATCACAGGTCTTTTTTGATTCAAACAAAACTAAATCCTCCTTAAAAAATCCATTCATACTACCTATATGGGTAACAATTAATCGTCGACCTTTACCCGTTAGTTCCTTGAAACCCGGTGAATATCCTTTCAGAAATGCTTGTCGACATGTTTTTATAGTTTTTTCTTTCCAAACTCTCCCTACAGTATGCCCTACATTCAACGTTTCATCTAAATAATAAATGTTCTTTTTTTCTGGCCTCATCTTTTTTTATTTTTCTGAGGTAGTCTCATCTCCAACATACAATTTCTTCGAAATCGATAAGCTTTGACTGTCTGCCCACTTTTTCATACTTAAAGTTTAACTCATGCAAAACTTTCCAAAGTTTGTCTCTACTTATTGTGGGTAAATCGGGATCGTCGGTAATGGCTTGTAAAACTTTATCTAAAATTGGTATTTGTTTGTTAAAAAAAAATGAGTGGACCATTCTAGGAATTGCATTTTTGAACAATTCATTCACATTCACTTTTCGACAATTTTGGTCGTCTTCCTGGTCTCGGTTTGGGTGGCGTTATACCAGCTGATTTTTCTTATTTTAAAATATTATATACAGTTGATTTTCAATATCCCATTACTTTAGACGAAATTTCAACTATACTATTAACAGCATTGGAAGGATTGTGTTGCTTAAAATGATTGTAGCCGTTAAGGATAACACTCTTTTTGTTATGTGAAAAATGATTCAACTTAAATTTTTTAACTGGTGTATAATCACACGTTAGTTCCATATTCTATAAACTCACTATTCACTCTTGCAAAAAACAACTGTGTCAGATCTCTTCACTAGCTTATAATCGACTGAACAAAAATTTTCTGATATTAATGAATGACTATTTAAAGACCATTAACCATTTATTAATCATTGGTTTTCCAAACAAAATCGAAATTTATACTATTTAAGATAGCGTTTACATTTATCAGAAACCATCTTTTTCTAGTCAACTATTTATATCTAAACTAACAAAAGACCATTAACTAAATACCTATGTGTTTTAAGAGTTTCTTTATTTCTTGTTATTTAATGGATCATTATCATAACGACAAAAACAACCATAAATAATGTTACTAAAATAAACAGATTTATATAAATATAATATGCTTTGAAAATGGTTTAAATATCTAACAAACCGAAACAAATAATGTAATACCCTTAAAGTACGTCTATGTCCAGCTGAAAAAACCCTAGCCTACACAGTTCTAACAATAGCAGGTATTTAAAGTTTACGATAAATGTGACATTTAAAAATTTCTATCTAAATAGTCAAACCCAACGTAAAATAAGCTAAAATATTGTCGTTGCACGAAAAGCACACGTACTAAAATATGCTAAACAATTTAGTTTTTTTTTTCATGAGAATTTACTCCAGCTTATTCTTCAAATACACAATACAATATTATACAATTTTTTGTGTGAAAATACTATAAAAGGCATTTACAACAAGATACTTTTCAAAGTTTTCCAGTAAAAATGGTTATCTTTTATCAATAAAAATGTATTTAGACATAGAGAAAAGGTTATTTCCACGTTTACTGACGTAACTGTACAATATTGAAGTTGTAGTATTTTTAAAAATATAAACCCTTCATTATGTCTTAAAGTCACTTTGGTTTTGCACCTTATTTGATCTCCAATTTTACCGAACCGTTGTCACACTTAGCCATAAAAGTTTTAATGCTGCTAATGGACTCTATTAAACATTAATTGTCCACCATCTAACGATGTGATCATATCTGGTATAAAGCCAAAATAACTTTAATAAAAAGTAAATGTCTCGCTACACTTGCACTTTGTAACAAGTCAAAACTTTTAACTACACTCTAAGCCTCGTCCTCCATGTCAAAAATTAAGTTTTTAACGGCATCAAAATGTTCAGCGTAGAATATGGCCTCGGTAATCCTAGTTTCCCATCTGGTAATTACAGATTCTGGTGGTAAACTATCTCCAGGTACTTTTTCCCTATATATATCTGCACTCTTCGAGGGTCTTTGATGAATACTTTTTAAACATTTAAAATTAGATTATTTACTAACCGAAATTCTGTTTTGGTGGTTTCTGCTACAATTTTGTTTTGGCGGTTTCTGCTACTTGGTTTATTTCGTGCAGAAGACATGTAACATGCCCGAAATTGGGGTTTGTCCTACACTTTTTGGGGTTTGTCAGTTAAAGGTTATGTCCTTCTTTTATCATAAAGGGTGTGGCATCAGATAGAAACACCAACAACTTTTCTTCTGTTACTGAGTTTAGAAGAAAGAAGCTTGCTAGAGACTGTTGAATGAATCTGGATACCGTCACAAAATTGGTTTTGCCCCACTGCTTCGAAAATATTAAGTATGCGTTAGAAAAATTATTTTCTTGATTCCAATCATCAGATCTGCGATATATCTGCCACAAACATCGGTACTTTGTCTGTACTACGATCTGATAGTCGACTTATCAGGATACGTTTGGTTGTAATGCCTTTGTAAAAAACTTCTAAATTGGGTATGCTGAAGTTTTCTTAGCGGTATGTAAGCTGCCATTATTGTCTTACACAAGTTTTCTTGAAAAAGTTCCTTATTCGACTTGGATTTTGCATTCACATTTTAAAATGCGTTCTTAACATTCTGTTGAACAGGCACATACTTCATTTTTGCGACCTTCCCGATATGCAGCGCTGTTTATGGAAAAAAATTTCAGGCTACTACTTAATCTATTTAACATTTTACATCCAAATAATAAAAATAATGAAGAAGGCAATAATTCCCAAATTGTAATATATAAAATGTTTTTGGAAGATATGTCTGTAGTAGAAGTGAGAGTAGACTTTACCTTACGATGTAGAATCTGTACCTGTTGTTCTTTTGATTCAGTTCCCTCTACTAGTTAAAACTCTAACTATGACCATAATATGCAGGTAAATTAAAATGTTCTCAAAATATGCATTTTTTCAAAATCTAATAAAATATGCATAATATGCACATATATGCAATTTGCATATAATCCTCGCTTTAGTAATGATCCACTGTATATATCTCAAAACTATAGATGACGTCTCTTACAACTAATTAGTATTTCGATTATAACTTTAATGAATTATTTTACTTTCTTTAATTTATTTCCATGCGATATATGTATGTATTTTTATACCTCTTACATGTTTTAGCTTTACACTGGAGAATGGAGCAACTATTTTCTAGCTTGGGGAACTTTTATAGTTTTATACTTTTTTGTAATATCATCTTGGCTTGCAACTATCCAATTATACAAAACGTTCGAAAATAGCGGCAAACTAACTTTAAGAAACATTGTTGTTATAATAGTCAACAGATATTTCAGGTATGTTGTTTAAGTACATCACTCAACACCTTAGGTAGAAGGGTTATTGATTATATACATATATATATATATATATATAATATATATATATATATATATATATATATATATATATATATATATATATTAGGGTGGGCCGAAAAAATTATTTGTTTAGTTTTAATACACAATACCCCCAAAAAGATGCCTTTTGGTAAGTATAATCACTGTATTTTTTTTAGGATTTTTAAAAAAACATCTTCAGCCCTCTACCACCCCTAAAGTGAACCCTAAATCAAAATTATTTAATTTAATTAGCAATACCTGTAAAAAGTTTCAATTATATGCAAAGAGTTCATGTTATTTTTTTTATACATTTAGAATAAGATATTCTACCCTCTACCAACAGATAATGATCTTGAATCAAAAATAAAAATAATAAATTCACAATTATTTCTGAAAAATTGTGTGTAAATATGGGAAACTACTGCACATTTTATAGGGTGTTGGGAAATAAAACAAAATTTGAACTGAACTAAAAGTTTATTGGAAACCGAAAACAAACAAAAATATAAATATCCTATTTTTAAACACACTAAAATGCGAAATAAAAATCAATAGAAAAATGCGTTCATTCAATTTTAAATTGTGCTTTGTTATCGTAAGTTACAAGAAAGTCTTTTGATTTTATTTTAGATCGAATAAATCCGTCTCTGCGTTCTGGCCCTGTAACTAGCAAAGATGATTCCGAAACCAATTTCACACATCTCTCCACAGCTTGCGTGTGGCATGGATATTTTGGAAAGTCAAAGTCTGCAATTATAGAGCTATCAATTAACTGTTTCAGCTCATCATCTGGTATGTCAGCTAACATTGGTGGGGCCGTTACTTCACATTCACTCCAGTTTATTAACTCAAAATACTCCGCAGCATTAAAGTTTATTTCTGGTATTTTAAACTGCCTTATTCCGACTTTTTTCTCTTTTCTGGCTTTAATAATTCTCCGTAAAGCTAATTCTCGTACCCATTGACGATTATCTGTTAACATACATAAGAGAAGATTCTCCGGATGAATATAATAGGAGTTTCGTTGGATAACTGCATCTATAATATTTTTAAGATCATCTCTTAAATATCTTGATAGTGTAATGGATTTGAAAACATGCAAACTGGCTTGTGTGCAACTTGGATTAAGCTTTATAAAAAACCACATTGGTGCATAGACTTTAATTATAAATTGAACAAGATCTTTCAATCTTGATGTAGGATGTTCGGTTCCAACGTAGAGGCGAAGAACTCTATTTGCCATTGTCAGCCATCTGGAATGAGCTAACTTTCCAGGGCTACGATTTGCTAAATTTTCATAGACGTTGCCATTTGATATTGCTTGGCATATGTCGTACAGATATGACTGGTCTGAGCTTAATTCTTTAGATGGTATTGTTAGTTCTGGGAGATCACTTTCAATTATTTCAAAATCTACGATTGGAAGGTGTTCGCATTTTTCAATAATTTCCCGATCACTCCAGAGAATTGACGAGGTCCAGTAGTAGCTCCATCCAAACGTTGAAATAAATGTCTCAATGGCAACTCATTAGCATGTAAGGCACACACAAACCATTGCAAAGGTCGCTTAAGTTTATTTTCGATATATGTTATAACTCCATTTTTATGTCCAGTATTCACTATGGTTCCGTCACAACCAATCGCCACTAAATTATCCAAACAGAAGTTATTTGAAATGAGAAAGTCTATTATTGCCTTTCCAATTGACTTGGCTGAGCCTGCAGATGGGGTAACGTGCCCCAAATAAACAGAATTCGGTTCTTCTATCAATGACACATGTTCTTCTGCAATAGTTCTTTTATGATATCTCTCACCTTTCTTTTCCTGCACTAAGGTTTTGTCCTTCCTGCCATCAAAGTAAATACTCTTAATGGGTTTATTTGTAGACTGAAACTCATTACTAAGGATATTTCTGTTCTTTTGACGAGCTCTTCTAACTTTATTTTTATCGATTACTTTTGAGGTATCACTATCGCAAATAATTCCCACATCTTTTAATACAGCTGTGGCAACAGCAGCTGCTGACCTGTCAGAAATTCCATATTTGTCACATATGGTACCTAATGTGGGCAACTCTATCCTCATTTGACTACAGGATGGTTTCGACGGTAAATCAATATTTGCAACACTAGGTGAGGCTTCAGATGAAGAAGAATTGTCAGAGTCTGTTGATAACCTAGTGACCTCAGTAGAACAGCTGGGCATAGAAATATTGTGAAATTCAGATTTGAATTTTTGTACTCGTTCTGTTTCTTTTGTTTGTCTCTCCGTCCTTACATTCAACTTTTTAGTTGTTTCACGATCAACAGTTCCTATAGCCATATCTCTAGTGGACCGTTGATCCAAAAGAAATTCCTGTTCCTGCTTTGGTACTTTTCTTGATTTATCACACTTGCAATACTTGCATGCAGAAAAATCACACTTACAGGCAGCAATGTCGAACAACTTATCCCTTGTTTCCTCTTTGAAGCTGGTAATCTTTAACTCATATTGAACATTTCTTTTGCTTTTTGGATATCTGATAAGGTTTAAATATTTATTATGATATTTACGTAATAATTGCATGATGCGGTCCTTTGACACGGTTGGAATTGACGCTGATTCCCATATACTTTTGATTTTTGGCACAAGCACTTCACAAACTTCATTAAAACTTGGTTCCTTTCCAAAATATTTAGTAAACTTCAGTTCATAACGAATAAACAAATAACATCGAAGCACATGTTCTATCGTTGGTAAAACATGACAGTTTAAGTCGACTGGGTTACCGAAAATTGGACATTCTACTTTACTTCTTGTAATATTTAATTTTAAAGCAGCCATATTTATGGTCGTGCTAGGTATTCACGCAAATACAACAAACACAATCTATTCGTCTTGGCTTTCAACAAATAAACAATAAACATGCGTTTCACCCGAAAGCTTATTTCGCACTAAGAAGATAAGCGACGACAAGTACCATAACTCTCGACGATCCATCTCAGCCGGGACTGTTCGATTGTATCCGAGGCTTCACGACCAAGACCATCAGTATTAAATACTTTTATATTATATTATTATACTTTTTATGCTTTAAAGTTATACGGAGTTAATTTTACATTTTGTGTTTGGAAAAAGTTGGAAAATTGAGATTTTATTTTAGTTAGAGGGTGGTAGAGGGCTGATAAAATCATTTTAAAATAATAAGAAAAAAACAAAAGATTTATACACGGTAAAAGACAAACTTTGAGCGGTATTGTGTTCCTAATTTATTTATTTATTTTTCAAGGTCACTTAAGGGCTGGTAGAGGGCTGAAGACATTTTTTCAAAATAAAACAAAAAATCACAAGTATTTTTTACACATATACGCATCTTTTTACGGGTATTGCGTTCCTGTTTGATTCGTTTTTTTTCTGAAGTCCAGTTTCGGCCCACCTAATATATATATATATATATATATATATATATATATATATATATATATATATATATATATATATATATATATATATATATATATATATATTGTTATGATGTGTTGGTTGTTTCTGTATGAGCTATGAGTCAATTTGAATGATATATGTAGGTATAGGGTTTTTATCGCTTTTCTCAAAGAATTAGTTTGTCAGTACTTTTTTAAATTATCTTTATTATAACTATTATGAAACAAACATATCTATCTAATATAAGCAATATCAATTTAAAACAATCTATCTAAAATTTAAAATTCTTACAATTATTAAATTATTAACAAAATTTGGTACTTTTCTGTCACTGAACGCCTAAAGTTTTTCCAAAGTTAAAGTTATTATCCCCACTCGATATCTTCTTACTCAGCCTTGGTTATCCAACAATTTTAATATGTTTCTTCTTAATTATCTCCACTCACCATATAAATATATAAATTTAAATCCTTGTAATTTCCATATAATGTACTTTTAAATATATTGGATCTTGTGGTTGTACTACTGAATGCTTACTTCAATGAATAAACTTCATACTATCACTATATTACTGTAGTAATAATTAATCTCCAACTGTATTTGACTTAATTTATTCATATAACTTAATCAATGCCTTCTTCTAGCTAATAATCTCCTCATAACCTCATACATTCTTCTTAATTCTTCTTCGTAATTAATAATCACATGTAACTGACTTAATAATCCTTGAATTCTTAAATTCTTCAAACTAATTTACTTAACAATTGACTGTAACTTCTTGTAACTTAACTCAGTTTACGAATTAACTCTAACTTACTTAATAATAATCTGTACTTGACTTAATAATCCTGTGTAACTTAATGCCTTGAATTCTTCTAACTAACTCCACTAACTCATTAACTTAATTAATAATCTTCTTGTAACTAAATTCTTGAATTCTATCTTTACTGACTCACTTTACTAACTGACTCCTGCTCCAAATTACATGGTATATATATATATATATATATTGTTATGATTTTGTATTTTTGATTTTAATTTATTTACTTGAAACAATCACAAAATTATACTTTCTCGTTATCGATGTCCTAAAAAATAAACTTCTGATATTTCTTATGTTCAGTGAGTTCAAAGTTTTCTAGTTGTATTTATCGGGATAGGAAAAACAAAGGATAATAATAAAAAGTATAATACATAAAATACAGATATTTTTTATTTTATAAAAAAAAACAATTATTAAATTTGCCGTTATCTTTTCAATCAGCGAATATGCATGTAATGAAATTAATACAAAAAGAAAATTTTAATTCTTATTTTCTTCTTGAGACAAAACAATTTGAAACTAATTTAAATTTGGATACCTTTATAAACTTTTATCTTCCTTATATTTAAAAAATCTATTTTATTATGGAAACAAAACTTTAAAACATTTGATAAATGTAAAAAGGTCTAATCATGCTTTAAACTGGTAACAACAATGAGGTAAACAAATCGCATTTAAGATTTACACACCTTTCAACTTGAAAAAGGAA